CACCACAGATACTATTCTTACCTGCTGTTAGAAGGTATCTTCCTCATTTAAAATAGGTTAGGAACCAACTTATAATGTTCTTTATTTAACAATAAGTTCTTTAAGTAGATGACACAACTTTCATCTATCTGTAAATTCATCTCACTTCCCTTTATGAATGCTTACCTTTCCCCAGGTGTTGTGGGAAAACAAGTTACATGAAACTTTGTCTTTCCTCAAGGAACTTAGAATCCAACAAGGAGTGAGTGCTATAGCCTCAATGTAACATGATGCAGTCTCCAGATAAAATATATATAGTTCTTTTTTGTTTTGTTTTGTTTTTGGTACCAGGGATCAAACTCAGGACCTTGCGTTTGAGAGGCAGGCAAGGAGCCACTGAGCTACATCTGCTGAGCTTGCATGAGACAGTTAAGAAATCATCACAGATGTTGGCCATGGTCAGATCAAGAACTGCAGAGATAATGACCGGCCAGGGCTGATTGCTTGTTTCCAACTTTATTTCACCATTTTCCCTTTATTCTATGTTTTAGTCCTGCTGGCCTTCTGGCATTCCCCCTTATGCCTTCACTCTGTCTAGACCTTTGCATACTGCCTTGGAACTTACTGCACAAGTAAGTTATTTTCCTCCTAATCCAGGCAATGCCTACTCCTCCATCAGATCTGAGTTTCAATTCTACTTCCTCAGGCAGAGCTCTCTGACCCTGTAGTAAAACCAGGCTCTTTGCGATTTCTCCTTTGTGCTGTATAGTTTCATGACCCTGTCATAATTAATATTTATGAGCACAATCATTCCCAACCATTCTATGCTCAAGTAGGGAAGAGCATATGTATGTTTTAATATTATAATCCTTATTATAATCAGAATTTCTGGCATATTGTGGGTGCTTAGCAAGTATTGAATGAAAAAAAAAGAAAAGAATTTATATTTAATCAATAGCTATAAGCCATGCTCTGTATGTATATATATATTTCTTTTCATTCATTCATTCTTTTTTTTCTTAACTCTTCTCCAATCCCTTTGAAGTTGATAATATTTGCCTATTTTAATGTTAAGATAAATTCATGGAAGTTAATTTCCATGAGGATGCACTATGCCCTTACATCATCATGTGTTGTATGTGTTGTCATCTCTGTCAACCCCCATGATCTCCAAATTTATCTAGAAATAAAGTAGCAGTTTGCTCATCTGAGGTCTCAACCTTTCCGTGGGGCTTTCTCCCCTTATGCCTGCACTATGAATAGGAGAGTTTTGGCCATTTTCATGTCCATTTATATTTATCTAGGTAGATTCTTCTGAACTAATAGAAACATTTTTACTCCAAATTTCCTCTGCCTAGTCTACGAGGCCCAAGATAAAAGGGTGTTTGTCCTATCCACTGTATTACTGCCCCCTCCCGAAAAGCTGGTACACTTTAGGTACTCAAGTGATAGCTGGTGTGGCATGGATAAGGCAGTTTACAAATTATCAGGGAGATTATTCAAGATGAGATCTTGAAATGGGTGTACTGAATTTTTTCACCTTCCTACGTTTTAAATGAAACTAAGTGCCCTCAAGCTATACTTACCAATTCTTCACTGAGTACTTACTATGTGATGGGAATTGAGCAGTGACTAAAAAAGTTCCAATTTGCAAAAAATCTAATATTGATTCCTATGAAATGAAAATTTTGAGGGGTAAACATAAATAATCAGTGCATTACAATAGAAAATCATATTTTACTATTATATTGACCTGACAGTATTATGCCAGTCAAGTTCAAGTTCCTGCTTTACAGAACCTGGGCTCCAAAATCCAAGGGAATGGATGGTTTCACAGCATTCATTCAACATAAAACATGGTGGAAAGTCCAGATAAGAAAAGTGCAAGCCAATGAACTTAACAATTAGGGGCGACTATCCCTTGTGAAAAGGCATTTTCAGTAATTCCCTGGAGTAGAAGCTATAAGGCAAATAATTAGAGAGAACTACACACACAATAGAATAGACTCTCAAGAAACCTAGATAAGAAGGGATAGGAGGAATAGTGACTTTAGAGGGAACAAGGTTGAGATAGGATTTTAGTGTGAATTTTTTAAGGATCGTAGATATTTCAACATGTCTGGAGGATCAAGAGGAGAAACCAATGGAGGAGGTTTGAAATATCCAACAGACAGAATAATTGATGCAGCAAGGGTTTACAGGAGAAAAAAAAGTTGCAAAGACAGGTGGGGGCATCAGCTTTAGAAAGAAAATGTCAATATCTTCTTTTGGAAAGGCAAAAAAAGAAAAGTTAGGAAAAGTTTATAGAAAACACACATTTCAGGCCAGAGGGAATATGATTCAGAAGCTCAAGTTCTGTATTTTCCTCAAAGAAGTTCTATGGGTGGGAGTGGGAAAGGGTGAGAGGAAAGGTGATGGCTGGATAAAATGGGAACCGTTCAGGAGAAGCACTTGTGAAGGAGTCTCCAGATCACAGAAAGTGCAGCCAGGGTAGAGGTGATGTGCTGTAATAACGCATCTTGAGAACAAGTCCTGGGTTGGAGACTATTCCCTACTGCCTCTCCACACCTAGACACTTCATGGGGTTTCTACAATTTCCTTTCATCTACCACTCTGCCGAGAATCCTTTTGGAAAATAAGGAAACTGGCTTCTCACAAACTGCCAGATAATCAAATTTGATTTCCCAGTAGGCAAGAAACAAAACCTTGGTCATTTCCTTGTTTTCTCTCTTCTTCAAAGTGCTTATTTTAGGTAAATAAGTAGATAACATTTGCAGTTATGTTTGCATTAAGGTGGAGAGAATCACAGCTCCCTGATACTCAAATCCCATAATTCAGCTTTTTTAATTTCATTTTTTGCACATGCCTAGTAAAGGATTAATGATTTGTAATTTGTATAATGAAAACAATCATTATTCTCAAGATCTTGAGCAGCTCTAAAATATCAAGATTGATACTGGACATTACCACTTGGATTCCCAAGTTGGTGAAGGAACATAAACACAGGTAACATAGAGACTCTGATTGACCCTTATTTTCTCCCTCTCATGGATGTGCAATATACACATCTGCTGTGTCCTAACAGAAACACAGTTTTAGATTAGTTTTGACAAGTACCAGTTCCAAGAGAGTCCAAGACAGCTGTCTTAGTCTTCTAAGGGTGTGCTATAATCTGAAAGTTTGGGCCCCTCAAAAATGAAAGTTCTTGTTGTTACTTAATCTTCTCTGTTGGTGGTATTAATAAGTAGAGCTTTTAGGGGATGATTGGCTCTCAAGGGCTTTGAGTTCACTAATGGGATTATTAATGTCTTGAGAGGCCTGAGAGAACTTTCTTCCCCCTCTAGCAGGTGAGGCTGCAGTATCAAAACACCACACACCCAACCTACTGGAACCTTGACCATAGACTTCCCAGCCTCCAAAAGTGTGATGAGAAATTTTTGTTGTTTATTAATTACTCAGGATAAAATATTTTGTTATAACAGCCCAAATGGACTATGACCAGTGGCCATAACAAGATATAAAATGTTATAGGCTGGGAAACTTAAATAACATAAATATATTTGCTTTCAAGTTGCAGGAGGGTTGATATCTACTGAGGGCTCTCTCCTTAAGTTGCAGGCAGCTGCCTTCTTACTGGAAGCTCACAGGACCTGCTCTTTGTGTGTATCCAGTGGTGATGGTGGCATTGGAGATGACTGCAGAGTGGGCCAGCACACTATCACGCTGTTGTCATTTCTTGTAAAGACACTAATTCTACTGGATTGGGTCCCATGCTTATAACTTCATTGAATTGTAGTTGCTTACTTCCATAGCAGCCCCATCTCCAAATACAACCACAATATGTCAGGGCTTCCAAATATATATTTTGGATAGAAGCAGGCATTTAGTCCATAATACCAGCCAGTAGGGCAGGGTTAGGATCCCTAGCAAGAGCTCTCATCAGTATAAATAATATATTATCACTAGGATTTAAGGGCAATAATAGATCCACTTTTAACTGTGATGTCAGTTGGTTCTCAAGTCTACATGGAATTGGTAAGATGTGTGGACAATGTCATAACCAACTCCAGCAAGCTGAGAGACTTCTAGTAGGAAAAAAATTTCAGTAAAAGGTATAAGATTGTCATGAGATGGGACACAACTGTTCCATGCTGATGAGGCAAAGGTTACTGATACAGCACACCTAGGATTAGGATTGACAATGCACTTCAATATTTTTGTAGCCTCAGGTCTGTATCATTCATCGTTGGAATGATAATAGAATAAAGAGCTGATGGACCCTCTGTAGCTATTCACTCACTGGGGTTCTTTTGTTTTCTTCTGTGCATTTACCCCTTCTGCATGGTGCCCGAGAAAGGATGACCAGACTGGACATCAAGTCAATCTATTAAAAGCCACACAACAAGCTAATGATAGAAGGGAAACTAAAACCTAAGCTCCTAAATCTCCAAGTGTCATACTTCCTCTGCTGGTACTTTATTCCACTTTAACGTCGAAGTGGGATTGATATCATCTACTAGAAACAGAGGTCCAATCTCTGCTTTTTGTCCCTAAATTACTGTTTGTGGCTTAGAGTGTGAAAGCGCTTCTATGACAGCAGTGATAAAAGCACACAACCTCAGAATGCTTATTATGTGCCACACACTTTCAGCCTATGGTATCATTTAGTTCTCTAAGCAACCCTCTGTAGTAGGCACTATTCACCTTTTCATTTTCTAGATGGAGGAAGAAAGCTTTAGAGGAAAATGAGGTGCCACAGCCCAGAAGTAGCAACTACATGAGCAAATATGGGCTGCCTGAGTACAGAGGTAACAGGAAACTATCGACCGTGCACTTTTTGGCAATTGGTAGCTCTCATAGCAGAAAAGAGATTATGTTTTGCTCTTTATTGGTATCTTCACAACATTTATTTTGAGCCCATATGAGTTTGACCTGAGCTATCTGAAGAACGTGCATATTTTCTCCTAAAAGGTAAATAAATGTAACAACAAAAGTTTATACTTCCCCCTCCTTACCTACAGAATTTCAGAAACACCTGCTCCATAGAGGCAAGACGAAGAGTCATTGCCTGAAAGAAGGAATAATTCAGTTTCCCAAGGTGGCTCAGAACATGAAGCAGAAGACTTCAGGAGAGAGAAGGTAAAGATTCAAGTGCCAAAATTACCCATTACCCAATCTTAGAAAAGCATCACATATAAAGTTGATGTCTTTTCTGCTCCAGCATAGCAGAGTCTCAGGTACTCTTAAAAACACAGGAACGTGCTGTGCTAAGTCAGTCTCAGAATTCAGAGACTGCTCGTGACAGCCCATATTTACCACTGGCTGACTGTATGATTTTCTAAAACCAAGCCTGTTCTCTCACAGAGAAATGCAAGGAGGAATAACACTAATTTTTGAAGCTGTGAGCAGACACCTTGTGATCCAGGCAACAATCAAATGATATTTAACAGACATAAACAATTTAGTATTGCGGTCAAATAAAACAACAAGAAATTGTCTGACACATACTTAATGGCGTGCTTCATCAGTGTTTGACCGGATTGTAATTTGACCCTAAATGGTGAGCAGTTTGTGTAAATTACTGTGCTTATTAGCAATGACCATCTCTTAACAATTGTATGGCAGTTTAAAGTTTCTATTGTACTTGAATATGGATTATCCCATTATCTCACAATAGAAGGTCTCACAAGCTCAGTAAATGTTAGTTTAATGTAAGTCACTAGAAGTTAAGCTAGAAAAGCTGGGTAGATACTAATTCCTTTTATAGATGAGAAGGCTGAGGTTCAGATATAGATACATAGCATCTCCCTTAGGCCAAAGCTAGAGCCAAAGTCATTTGACTTCCAGGGACAACTGTTCTCTCTTATTCTATGCCATCTTCATTCAGTCAAGCAACATACTTCCAGTACTGCCTCAGTACCAGGTGGATGTAGAGGACCGTAGAGTTACAGAGAAAAAGTAATTTATTACATAACCCTCTGCACTGGGCTGTTTCCCTTTTTCTCTTTCAAGCAGTTTACCCTTCAGTTCCTGAAGGGCAATCTCTGTTTCATGTCACAGAGATTTCATAGAGGGAGGAGGAGAAGGAAGAGAGAGAGAGAAAGAGAGAGAGAGAGAGAGAGAGAGAGAGAGAGAGAGAGAGAGAGAGAGAGAGAGAGACTCTCAGAATACTACCTTTAGCTATTAATATAAAAAAGAAAGTTTTATTTTTGTATAGTCTTTCATAGATTTTAGAGCATTTTCCATAGACAAATGGCAAACGTTCAAACACTTTAGTTTCTCACAAGAGGCTTTCTATTATCTAGTCTTTGGCATCAGATCCTGTGTTCCTCCAGAGACACAGAATGGCAGCTATGCAAAACAAAACTTTCAGCAAGTCCTTGAAGGTATTAGGCTAGTTTACACTTACGTAACCTCATGCCTGCTTTCATTTTGGCTTGATGGCCTCTTTTCTTCTTATCCAAAATATCCACAGGCATCATTGCTTCCTTTTCATCTCCAATTTACTAGAGAGTGGTTATTTTATTATTATTATTATTTTATTTTGTGATACCTGGGATTGAATGTAGGACCTTGAGCTTTTGAGGCAGGCATGGTGCCACTGAGCTAAATCCTTGGCCCTTAGGGAGTGGTTTTAAGCAATGTGGTCCCTAGCCCACTGTAGGTCAGCTGTATTTGACATCTATATTTATAAAAATTTTCCTATTTGATTCTGATGTCTGTGAGGGTTGAGTGTCATTGTTCCCTTCTCTGACTGTCTCATTGGACCATTATCTCTTCAAGGGGGTGGATGTCATTAAATTCTGTTTCCAAACTCTTCGACAAGGACGCATGGTTCTCCTTGTGTAGCTGCAGTGTAGGTGTTCCACATCTTACAGTGTTGGATGCTGTCTTCTGCTTCACCTCTTTTGACCTTATACACCTCTTTCCATTTCCTGGATTTCTGAGATCCAGTGTGGTTCTATTTGTGCTCTTACCCAGTCTAGACCTTGTTTACTCTTACTTCCATGTCTGTGGTTGTTATCAGCAATTAGACATGGCTCTATCTCCAACTTAGCCTAAGCATGATCTCAAAATCTTTCTCAATCTAAAATCCAACAAGCCATTTAAAATAAACTGGAATAAGAATATGAGTCAAAATCTTTCTATAATGCATAACCTGGCTCCTTGAACGATGACATGGATTTGACATGATTGGTCAGATTCCTCTGGTATGGAACTTCCAATGATCTCTAGCTTTAGCCCCACATTTGTAGAAAAGAAACACATTGAACACCCTGTGTTCAATCTCAAGCCTTGGTTTAGTCCTTACCAAGCAGATAGAAATGAGTGTTGATTGCATCTTATGTGGCCACCTTACACCTCAATGCCAACTCTGAGGAGTAGATAATAGATGGAAGAACAGTATAAATAGTTCCCTCATCCCATTCAGTCTTAGTCACTGTGGGACCACTATCTAAGCCTCAACACCCAGTGTCTTTGGAGTCCAGAAGTAGTGGAGTCTACTCTTGAATTCATCCATCACCATGAGAAAAAGGTGCCCTGAAAAGGCTGCTGGTCCAAAGGGGTACAAGACAGGAAGAGCAAAGCTATGTCCAAGGTGTGGCTTGAAGACAAGCCCAGCTCTGTCTGGCATCTCTTTCTTTTATAATAATAATAATAATAATAATAATTATTATTATTTTAATTGACTAATTATATGTATTTATATGATATTTCAATACGTGTATCCAAAGTGTAATGATCAAATCAGGGCAATTAACATATTTACCACTTCAGACACTTACTAGTGTTGTCTTTGTATTAGATGAATAAAAAATGAAAAAAAAATATATAAAATTCAGCCATAAAAATGAAATCCTGGCTTTCATAGCAACACAAAGGGAACTGAAAGGCATTATGTAAAGTGAAATAAACCAGGAACAGAAAGAGAAATTCTGTATGTTCCCCTTATATGTGGAAACCAAAAAGCTGACAATTAATTTTTATTATACTATATCAGCGATATAGGCAAAACTTTCAGAGACTGACTACCCAAACTACAGCCCAAAACCCACTTATTTATCACAAAGTACCAACACACCAATTAAACCTGAATACTAAGGTTTTAGTTTAGAAAAAATAATCTTTTGTTTTAAGAGAAAAGCACAATAACAGAGCTTTTAATGATGCACACAGCTCACTGTGCCATGGGTGCCATAGGTTCATCACCAGTGATTTGAATAACTGATCTCAGATCCTTATGGTCTTGTTCCCAGTTTGTTTAACAAAGCTATTGAGCCAGATACTGTTACTCAATAGAATATATTCTAACCCTAAAACTCACTCTGACAAACATGTGAATTGAGAAGAAGGAAAAAGCTATATGACCCAGTCATATAAATGGGGGACCTGAATCTCCTTGATTTTAAATAAATTGAGAAGGATTATTCAGAGAGTAAGTATTGAGGTCAGGATTCAGACCCAGGACTTCTGAATAAAATATCACACAATGTTTTACCATGCCACATGAATACTGGTGAAGTCTTAATTCTTTCTTTTAGAAAACCAAAATAAATAAATTTGTCATTGGTAAAAAATTTGAGTCTGGATTGTGTAGTGGAACAAGAATTGATTTAAAGGTGATTGTAAAGCTTTAGGGCTGTCTGGAAATGGGCCAAGTACAATGGTGACTTCTAACACTGTGTATTAGTTTGGCCTGTTTTTGACATTTATATAAATAGAACGTGATTTATTGTTTCAGAGAAATCCAGTCCTGGCATATGGAAACCAGCTGAAAGACTGAAGAAAGAGGCAGACAGACCCATGGTTGTACATACAGCAGTTTAGTAGGAACTTGTGGACAGAAGTGTGCCTTGGACAGCAGTAAGACATAAAGCTCTCTGTGACCAAAGGAAAGGGAAGGGATTTTTATGCTCAACTAGGCAAAGGTAGTTCCCAGCCAATCCTGACTTTTCTGGATTGTTAACTAATAACATTCAAAAATTAAGAAACAATTCAGGCCTTATTTGTGGTCAGCAAAAAAAACCTGTGTTGACTATCTTATCAATGCTGTTTATCTTATAGGGTTTGGAACACATGCTAGGGTCACCTTCTGGGCCAATGGCATTATGATCAAGATAAATGTGATCATGTCAAGCTGAATCTCTACAGTTCTTGCACTTTTCTTTTTCTTAAATTCTTTTATTGGTACATTTTAGGTATACAACACAATTACATTTCTCATTGGGAACTTGTACCTTTAC